TAAAATGTAGCGGGATCTGCCTCCATGTCTCCCTGAGGGCCACATCCAGTCTCTGCCTAGTTCTTGGCCTTGGTTGTCTCCCATCGGTGTGTCGTTTAATTTTGTCCTAAAAATGCTTAATTGGGATTAGATCTGCGGTAAGGGCAGGGTGAGACTGCAGGGTGATGCCATGGTGTTGGGGGAAATCCTGTGTAACACGGGAAGTGTTCACACTAGCATTATCTGGCTGGAACCGGAAGTTAAAATTTTGACTGTGTAGAGGGACCTAAGAACTTCTGTTATGCCACGGGCAGCATTGATACCTTGACATCGACCTTGGCCTTGATTTTGGAAGATCATTGGTCCTATTTTGTGTTTCCACATGATTCCACCCCAGATCATGACGCAATGTCCTTCCCAGCGATTTATCTCTAAGACACAGTTGTCACGATAATGTTCGCGTTCCTCTTGATAAACTCTGAGGTCCCTGTTTATTGCATCTATGGAGAACACGCATTCGTCCGAAAATGAGAACCAAAGACCAGTCTCTCAGACGGCTGTTGACTTGGTGCTGAGCCGAATTGAAACGCTCTTGACGATGGTGTGCGGTCAAGACTGGACCATGGTAAGGTTGACGGCTTCTCAGGCCTACCTGACGCAATCGTCGGTTTGCTGTGTGCAGACTTATGGCTCTTCCGTGGGTACCCCTAATGAAATCTGATGTTCTTGTAGATGTCTGAGGTCGATCTGAACGATACATCCGGACAATGTATTTGTATGCACGTGCATCGGTCACTCTGGGTCGACCTGATCTTTTTCGGTCCGACGTAGAATTCGTGAGCTGAAAACAGGTCATGAGTCTGTGGATAGTCGAGATGTGAACACTAAAATGATTGGCAACCACAATTGGCCTTTCTCCACTCTACAAACAGCCTATTGCTCTTTCTTGCTGTATAGCTCTTAAACGTGGTATAATCATAGTAAATGCAGGCGAAACAACCGTACCGATTTTTTACCTCAGCCTTTATAGTCCAGCTCAGGCGAATACTTTTCACCCTTTTTTTTTTACTCATTTAGACGGTGTTTCGATGGCATCACGTGGATTTTTCCACGCTTCAATTAAGGGGCAATAACTCTAGTCGCCGGTAACAAGCAAGATCGGAAACTTCTGATTTCCAAAAAGAATATGACATACTATCGGTGGTGTAAACTTTTGTCTTCTACCATCGATGGTCATTTAGTTATGGACAAAATAGTTTTTTGCCTTTCTTCTGCTCGCTAGTATATTTAGATTTGTATACAATATACACAATAAAGACTTTTCTGCATTTGTGCGTGGCATTTGACGATACATTTATTTAAATTTAAGAATTGAGAAAAACTTCCTCCTCCTCCTCCTTCTCCTCCTCCTCCTCCTTCTCCTCCTCCTCCTCCTCCTCCTTCTCCTCCTCCTCCTCTTCCTCCTCCTCCTCCTCTTCCTCCTCCTCCTCCTCTTCCTCCTCCTCCTCCTCCTCCTCCTCCTCCCCTCTCATCCCATCTTCCTTCTCCTCCCCTCCTCCTCCTCCTCCTCCTCCTCCTCCTCCTCCTCCTCCTCATCATCATCATCATCATCATCATCATCATCATCATTATCATCAGCATCATCACCACCACCATTGTATACAGCAAAAGTAAAATAGGTTGAGACTGTTAAAATTTATAACAGGTTTTACGACGCGGTTTTTGGGGCATGTAGAAATATTAGTATTATCTTAAAGCCTGTTCATTTACCTTCCTTTAAAAAAAATCCATTTATGTTGAAGAGAAGTCCCCAATATTTGTGATTGAAGGAGGGGAGGTTTGTCTGATTTCAGAGGTAAAATTAGTGAGAAAATGGCAGCCAAAGTTTGATAACTTCCATAGCCTGAGAGTCCTTGGAAAATGAAAATTTACATTTTTGTGCCTTTAACCATTTTTTCCCAGTAAGATCCACACAAAAATGTCTTTAAATGGGTGTAAAAGTGTTGAGCCAAAAAAAAAAGAATATAAGAAAAAGTATGCTCATCAGCCCCCCTAAAATGCCGCGCGCGCCCGCCGATTTCTTTAAGTTTCGTTATAATTTTGACAAACGCCTGATTTCACCACCATGCCTCACCTATATTCAACATTTTCCCAGATTTTCAAAAGTTAAGCCTTCGCTTTGCATAGAAACCTCACTGGCCAATTTGAAGAGTATTTCAGACAGCTGTGGTCAAACATCTTCTTCGTGCATTTAGATAGATACAAACAGTTATGATACACCCCACCATCCGGCTCTTTGACTTCTCAAACAAATGACGTCACGTTGTCTCCAGAAGTGAGAAATGTCCACCTCCACTCATGACCCTTGTCTGTGGCACCCAGCATGACGTCACTAAGAGTGGACACATGAGAGCTGGAGAAGTCAGCCAGGTCCTGGAACTCTTGTTTTTACTTGATCTTCTGTTCTAGAAGTTTGGTTTTTTTTTTCACCTCAAACAAGGCAAATGAACAATGTCAAGCTTTATAATTATACCTACAACTCTATTTACGTTTTACTTTTTACTTTTTCCTTCCTCTGGTATCCTTAGGATGTCGAAGGGAGGTGCAGGTTTCGGCCCTGTGCTAGGTGTGTAGCGTCAGTGATAGATACGTTATGTTGTTCCAGGACCTTTTTAACTCCATCCAGTCAGGTCTTTCTTGGTCTCCCTCTTGATTTGAATCTGGATTCTCGAGAATTGTAATCTCTAGCCGCTAATTGTTTCTGGGGCATTCTGGTTAGATGTCCAAACCATTTGACTCCTTGACACTCTATGAATTTTATTACTGGTTGTATTCTTGCTTTTTTAGAATTATGGTTTCGTTTCTTATGCGGTCTCTTCTGGTGGCGTTGATGTTTTTTTGGAGACACCCCATTTCGCAAGCATTTATTTTTCTTTCTTGTGCCTTGTTCAGAGACCATGTTTGGCACTGGTATGTTAATGTAACTATTACGATGCTATTGATAAGCTGGGAATTCACTTCGGTTGGGATGTTCTTGTGACTGAGCACGGATGCTAGCTGGTAGGTCACTGCATTTGCCTTCATAATTCGTGTTTCTATTTCTTTGTCCATACGCCTAGCTTCCCAAATATTTTAATTCCTCTACTTGTTGGAGCTGTGTTTAATCGATAAGAATGTTGAATTACCCTGGGTTTCTGCTGACCTTCACAACTTCTGTTTTTGAGAAAGATATTTTCATGTTCAGGTGTTTACATTTCTCATTTAGATCCTTTCTGTACAGAATGTAATCTTCGTCTGCCTTTGATTTCTGCCTCTTTTTGAATGCCTTTTTCTTCAGTTGGATGACCTCTTTTACTTGGTCATTCCACCATATTATAGTTGTTTTCCTTTTCTACCCTTCTATTTTCCTGGTGCCCCACTCTTATTCTATTGCTCTGTTCACACATGCTTTGAAGTGGCTCCGTTTCTCCTCAATGTCTCCCGGTTGTTTGGGCAATTTGTGAAATACATTTTTCATACGTTCATTTATCTTATCTTTGGTGTCGTCATTTATATTTCTGAGATTCACGACTTCTCGTCGTTTCCTTGCTTCTGGCCTTTTCCTGTTTGGTGTGTCAGTAGTCATGATGACTGGTCTGTGGTTAGTGTCTATGATGTAGTTGGGTATCACTCTTGAATCTCTGATGTTTCTCAGTTTTCATCTTTTGGCCAGGATAAAATAAATGTAAGATGCTGTCTTTAGGGCATTCAATTTGGTTAAGTCTTCCATGACTGTGGTTAAAACAGCACCTGATGGATGGCTGGTGCCTCTATAAATAAATTATTGATGGTCAAGGTCCCATGATTGTCACAATATCTTTGTCGTCCAGGGTGTTTAAAAGATCATTCAGATGATGATAGAACTATTGTCATTGTATGGATTTAGCAGTTTAACAACTCTATATTCCCCCAAAATTAACGACCGGCTGATTCCACTGCGTCACTACACATAATTATAGGCCTTATCTGAAAAGTGACTATTGGTTTTGCTTACTTTTCTTTCTTTCTTTTCTTTTCCTTGTGATTATTTGGTGTTGGACGTGATGCATGGCATCATTTGTGCCCACCATTTCTCTGATTACTGTGTTTTAAAAAAATGTTGTCTCGCCAGTTCTTGTTTACTGCTTTTCTAAGGCATCGTATTTCACATGTTGTAATTCTTTGCTCTAATGTCTTGTTCGTGGTCCATGTTTGGCATTGATAGTTGAGTGTTGGGATAAAAATGTGGTGTTGATCATTTTGAGTTTTGTAGTCATGGGGATGTTAAGATGTTTCTGTAGTTCAGTAAGTTGGTAACTAACATTATTGCCTTTTCTTCAAGTGTTTCAATTTCTCTGTTCAGTCGCCCATCCTCAGTGAATATACTTCCGAGGCACTTAAATTCTTGGACCTGTATGAGACTGTTGTTGTTGATGTGTATCCTGAGTGGTCCTGGCATTCTGCTTACTTTCATTGTCTCTGGGGTTTTTTACGTTTATCTTCATGTCATAGTTATTACATTATTCGTTTAATCTGGTGGTGTGGTGTTGGAGACTACGTTCATCTTTGTGTGCCAGGCTTTGGTCATCAGCGAAGAGTAATTCATTTAGGGCGTCTGGTTCTGTTTTGGCCTCTTTTGTAATTCTATCCATATAATATATTATGATAAATAGTCGTGGTGATACGACACAACCTTGTCTTACTCCGGATGTTATCTCGAACCATTCTGTGAGTCCCTCCGACGTTCTTACTCTACTTATGCTGTTCTCGTAAATGGCACGGATTTATCTAGAAGTTGGCCTCTTACAGTATAGTTTTCGAGTTCTTCCCACAGCTTCTTTCTATTCATTCTATCGACCGCTATTCGATTTCGCTTACATATAGCCTAAATAAGATAACCTTCGTAACTAATGTCATCGGCACAAAAGAAAAAGAAAACAATGTTTCATTGACACCATTCATTAATAAAAAATCCACAAATACACACATTAATCATACGAAACTTTTTTTCATTTACAGTGAAACGTTTATCAAGGTTTTCAAAATTTAAGCATTGATTTCGCACAGAAATCGCCATTGCCAAACTGAAGTATATTTTAGACATATTTCGTCCATCATTGTCTTTGAGTTTGTCGATATATACAAACAGTCTTGATTCGCTCCCCGTGACGGCTCTGAGTTACCCCACACAAAAGACGTCATGTTGCCACCAGAAGTGAGAAATGTCCACCTCCCTTCATGACCCTCATCTGTGGCACCCAGCATTACGCCAATAGAAACAGAACCAGGCACATGAGAGCTGGAGAAGTCCGCCAGGTGCTGGAACTCTTGCTTGTCGTTTATCTCCGCCAAATACCCGCCATAGAGCCGGCAGAGACGATTGGCTTCATGTACGTTAACCAGTATTGGTTTGGAGAGTAAGTAGTTGTGGCCCCGATAGCCAGTTGTTGTGGAAATTATGGCGTCTTTGGAGTTTTCCACACGAGTTCTGAGGTCGTTCAGTTTGTAGTTCATTTCTTGTTCCCTTGCTTCAATTGCTGTTATCTTTGCATCAAATTCTTTGTCCTTTGCTTTCAGTTCTTTCATCCTGATGTCCATTTCTTTGAACATGTCAAGAACCATGTCAAAGCCGATTCTAAGGGGAAAAAAGAAAGTTTATTTTTCTTAATCAAATCACAGAAAAATTGTTCATTCAAATGTTGATTTCATGTACAGGGTGATCCAAACCCCCCCAAACAAAACAACTTTACAACTTTTTTTGTGTAAATAATATTCCTCCGCACTAAAGCTCTGTTTTTAAAATGTATACTCACCATTGAAAATCAAAAGGAATTTGGCTGATGTTCATTTTAAGATAAATCCACCAAATAGTTTTGCTCTATATGTTTGGCTCTTTTCGTCTATATAGACGGTCAATTTAGCTTAAGATGGTCTCAAGGTTGTCTTCATGCAGCTTCTTTCATGGCTAATTCTTCCTACGTTTGAAGCGCAGATTCTGTCGCAGTGCTTGCATGTCAGTAACGTGGATCGAAGCTCTGTATTTCCGCTGTTTTCCTTTCGTCCTTGGCGCTTCCCAGCCTGATTGTTTCTAAGGCTGCTCTCTAGCATTATAGTTCTTTCCTTTATCATTTTCCTCCATGTTTTCCTGTCCTCAGTTATTTCTTCCCAGATGCTAACATCTACTCCAAGCTTAGACAAGCTGTTTTTACGTGTGTCTTTATACCTCAGTTTTGGTCTTCCTCTTGGTCTCTTTCCCTGGGCAAGTTCTCCATAGAGAAGTTGCTTCGGAATCTGGTTGTCGTCCATTCTCTTGACATGACCCAGCCATCTCAATCTTTTTAAACACAGGATAGATGTCATACTCTGGAGGTTTGCGCGTGTCAACACTTCAACATTTGTAACCCTGTCACGCCACGAAATGCCTTAGATCTTGCGGCAGCATCTGAGATGGAAAATGTCGAGGGGGTTTTCTAGCCTGCCATACAAGGTCTATGTTTCAGATCCATAAAAAAGTGTGTTGAGGACACATGCTTCGTAAATCTTGATATTTGTTTTGATGATTAATCTTTTTTGTTTTCCCATGCTCGTTCTGTCAGCCTTACAAAAGTTGTTGCTGCTTTACCTATCCTGATAATCAAGTGATGTTGTAGAGCTGATAGTAGATCCCAGGTAACAGAACTTGTCCATTGTCTCAAGTTCCTTGTCGTTCAGCCATATATGGCTCTGCTCTGCACCTTCTTGGGTAAGGATGACTGTTTTCTTAACACTGATGACCAAGCTAAAGACCTTGCATGCTGTTGATAGGCGGTCCATCATTGTTTGTAGGGTTGATTCACTGTGAGCAACAAGAGCAGCATCATCGGCGAAGAGAAGGTTTCGTACTGCTGTTTTGTTGATCTTGGTCTTGGACTTGAGTCGAGCAAGATTGAAGAGCGACCCATCAGTTCTCCAGGGGAGGAAAACATCCCCTGGTGACTCTATGAATGCGTGTTGCAGTAAGACAGCAAAATAAGTGCTAAAAAGGGTTGGTGCTAAGACACAACCTTGCTTTACTCCGCTATTGATGTTGAAACTGTTTGATGTTGAACCGTCAAACTGAATAGTGGCCTTCATATCTTCGTGGAAGGAGATGATGAACTGCAGCAGTATTGGGAGACAGCCAATTTTTCCAAGCACCATGTACAGTCCTGATCTACTGACTGTATCAAAGGCCTTTGTCAGATTGACGAACGCAGTATGTAATGGCGGCAGTTGTTGCTTTGTAGCGGACGAAGAGAAAAGATCATGTCCATTGTTGAGCGGTTTGATTTGAAACCGCATTGGCTCTCTAGTAGGACTCTTTCTGAAGTCGCTTCAGGATGATCCTAGTGAAAGCTTTTCCAGTGATGCTAAGCAATGAGATACCTCTGTAGTTGTTGCAATCTCCTTTATCCCCTTTGTTTTAGTAGAGTGTGCTGGTTTTGCCATCTCTCATGTAATGTGGAATTTCTGCTTTCAGCCAACAAGTCGTTAGTAGCTTGTAGAGATATGGGAGGAGGGTCTTTTTGTTCTCTTTCAGCACTTCAGCAGCTATGTTGTCTTATCCTGCTGCTTTTCTGCAAGCGAGTTCATCGATTGCAGGGGATAGTTCTTCTTCTGTTGGTGTTGTATCAAGTTCTGAGATTTCGGAGAGCTGAGGAATGGCCTCATGTAGCTGTCTATCAACATTTCGCTCCTCTGAGTATAAATCTGAATAATATTCCATCCATCTTTCAATTTGTTTCTTCTTGTCTGTCAGCTGTTCATCTGTCGCAGACTTTAGAGGTGCCACTTTGTTTGCTGTTGATCTAATAGCAGCTCTGATATTCTCATACATTTTCCTGATATTACCTGTATCGCTGGCCTGTTGGATTTCTAAGCATTATTTGTCCCAGTATTGATTGGAGCACTTTCTGGTTTCTCTTTGAAGGTTGGATTTAGCGGCACGTAGCTGTTGCCTTGTACTTTCTGTGGGTTTTGTATTGTGTTCTATCAGGATCTTACTCTTTTTCTCGAGTAGTGGTGCGACTGTTAATGCACTGGCTTCCACCCAGTCCTCCTTGCGACTTCTTTCTATTCCAAAAGTAATCGACGCAGAATTATAAATTGTTGATCTCATGCTATTCCATATGGTGTCCACGGATGAGCCATCTAGATGTTGGAGCTCTTCTTTAACATGTTCTTGACATTTTGCCTTTAACGCTGGGTCTTTGGTATTTCTTATGTTGATCTTAGGTTTCTTTTGTTTTTCAGCTCTTGGTGTTTTCTTTGTGACTATCTTTGCCTTAGCTATAACTAAAAGATGGTCTGTGTTGCAGTCTGCACTGTAGAAGGATATTGTTTGCTTTACTATCTTGGCATCTTTCTTTCTGACGATGATGAAGTCAATTTGGTGCCAATGGCCTGATATTGGATGGCACCAAGAAACCGTGTGTCTGTCCTTGCCACTGTAAAAGGTGTTAGTGATGCAAAGGTTGTTATTTGTGCAGAATTCTAAGAGTCTCTGACCATTCTCGTTGATTTTTTCCCAGCCCAAAAGGTCCAAGACAGGTGAGCCATACTTTGTTTTCAGTACCTACTCTTGCATTGAAGTCGCCCACGAGAAACAGTTGGTCTGCTTTTGGGACGTTGTTGATACATCCTGAAGTTCCTCGTAAAACTGGTCTTTTTTCTCATTGTCTGTTGTTAGGGTTGGGGCGTAGGTGCTGATGAAGTGAGCCTTTCCAGTTTTGGTTTCCATTTCCATGACAGTGATACGTTCGGATATACCTTGGGGGGTGGGGGGGGGGTGCTGATCGTGTTCAGCAATCTGTTGTGTACTGCAAAGCCCACACCTTGGATTCTCCTCTCATCTTCCCTAAAACCCATCCAGAAGAATGTGTAGTTTCTTTCCCTGATGGTACCGGAGTTAGCAAGTCTTGTCTCTTGCAGGGCAGTGATGTCTACATTGAGTAGTGTGAACTCCCTGTCTATGATTGCTGTTTTTCTGATGTCCTCTGTTTTCTCAAGGTTGGTGGTGTCCAAACCGGTACATTCCAGGTCCCCAGTTTCCATGGGGTTAGTTTTACTCTTTTATTTTTGCCTGGGGCTGGATTTACAGTCTAACTTTCGATTTTTGTCCTAGCTCCATACACCCATAGAATCAAAAAGACGTGGCGGATCAGCACCTTACTGACTGGGGGCTGAACAATTTGAGACGAGCGGTAGCCAATCAGAGCGACTGAATAGTCACTCCCATCGTCAGAGGTGACCCGTGGCGACATCCTGTTTCTCCAAATAAGGATGTCTTATAACTGGTAAACTGCCACATCCCGTGTTTTTTCCCTTGCTGATCTCAACAAGGATGAAGTGTTCTCTCCATAGTCATATAAATGCTGCTGTAGCTGTGGTTGAGCTGTGGGTCTGATCCGCTGTATTTGCTCTTTTGCAGCGTCCTCCCGGAAATCTTGAAATCTTCACAAAGAAGAACATGCCTAGCCCAATTTGCACAAAACCCCCTCTCGATTTTCCTATTTAGTCCAAAGGAGCGACGGGGTCAATACATTTGAAACCAGTAGAGTTGCACGGGCTGCTAGAAGATAGTTCGGATCGTTCCTCCCTGTCGACTGCCTTAGGGGCCCTCCCTCCGGATTTGCTTAGGGTTTACTCCCTTAGCCTTTCATACTTCCGTATGCACTTACAAGACAGTAGGAACACTGCAGGTAGTACCATCTACTGTCATGAAGGTAGCAGCACTAATGCCGACCTGACCTTTTTGCTCTATGTATCACGTAAAAATACCAACCCAGTTTCAGCTGTGTCCACATTTTTGCAGCGTGCTACAATAGTTCAGATAAGCCTACCCAACCATCGCGCCATATTGCAAGCTACAATAGTCTAAAAGAGTAACTGAAGTTTGCAGATATTGTTTTTCTCAAGTTTCCTTTGTCTGTTGAGATCATGGTTAAGATAAATAAAGAGCAGAGAACTTTTTGTATTGAAAATTATCTCGGCACCAAATGATTTTGGAAGTTTCCCACAAGGTAGGAAAGTAATGTTAAAGTGCCCTTTAAAGGCCGCCTTGAAGCCATGGGCGGAGATGTTTCATCAGTTAGGACCTGTAGAGAATCAGAACTAAAAATTCCCAGACAAAAGACCTCTTCAGGTCGCACACACACACACACAAACACACACATACACACACACATAATATTCGCACTCGTTTAAAAGTCACCAGGATGTAAAATTCAGTAGATGAGTCCCATGAGACCTGTGTCCGTTGATAGAGTCTGCAGCTAAGAATTTCCTACTTCTCAACAGTCCAGATTATCAAAGCAGATCTTCATCAACGACTGTACCATTTTCCTGATCTCGAAATTGACACGGATCATAGGAGAACAATGTGTTTATGATGTCTCGATCGTCTTTGAAAACGTGAACATTTCCTCATTTGGTTCATTAGCAAAGCACATACATGTATTCACATTTAAGATATGTTAACTCCAAAAATGTTGTCTATTGGGCAACCCCATCCAAGCACCATATTTTCTCTAGAAATAGCCCCATACTGTAAGGTGTACATGTTTCTTCAGTACTCATTGTTCGGCAGGTCCTTAAGTGTTTGGCCATCACTGAACAGTACGAACTACGCGTTAAAATGAGGTCAAAGGAGGACATAATAGAGCACTGATTCTAGGAATTCCAGAATTTCAAAAATATTTGTTAGCTATGTAAGAGAAAATAAAATATTGTTTATATGTTATAGGGTTGCAAACATTTTTAAATTGGAAAAAAACCACCCAAAAACAATGATTTCATGACTGTCATTACAACATATTTTAAATTGGGTGCATTTTGG